TGGAACCTCTCCTTCAGAGTCATTCAGGACCTGGTGAAGGGCCTTTGTATTTAAAAGTCAGTTGGGCCCTCAGGCTTGCAGCAGCCTTCAGTCCCAGTGTTAATTGTGTTTGGGACAAACCGTCCTTTCCTGCCTTCCTTCCTTCCTTCCTTCCTTCCTTCCTTCTTTCCTTCCCTTCCTCCCTCCTTCCTTCCCTCTTTCCCCCTCCCTCCCTCCCTCCCTCCATTGCCTTTCCTCCCTTCCTTTATTTCTTTATTTAATTTATTGAGATTTTAATGAAAGTTTAAAGAGAACTTGGATTTCCATTCATTCATTGTTGCACATTTACCTCCTTGTTCCTCTCCCCGCCCCAACCCCAGTTTGCTTTTTTTCTTTGGAAAAAAAATTCTTTCATTGTTATACACACCTCCCACCCCACTCCACTTTACTATGCATCTTTTATTCTGGAATCTTGACATGCCAATGATACCTCATCATATGTACATTCTTCTAAGTAATAGAGCACTGATCTTCCAGTTTGCTATACTGAGGTAACTTGGGGTTGCTGTAATGCTGAACACTATGACACTGATGTGTCAAATGCCATAATGGTTGCACATGTTAGACAGTGTTTGGTGGAGCTCCCATATTAAGACAGGCTTGGAAGCAGGAGTAACATCCACTTCCTGAAACAGCATGTGTCCGAAACTCTGTACATAGACAAACAATGATAGTTATAGAACACTGTTCAGTTCTTTTGTTCACTGTGAGTCATTCTCAACTCGATAACACTTAACAACAACAATAAAAAATGTTCAAGCTACTTTGTTGGCAAAGGTGTTTCTTAGAAGCCTCTCATTCAATATTCTAATAAACAATGACACAAGAATAATTACACCCATTTTATATGTAACAGAAGCTCAGAGAAGATAATAAATTCCTAAAGTCAGACTATTGATTGGCAGCCAAAATTCTCACTCGGTTCATATATTTTCTTTTGCATTCTGCCATACTGACAATCTTCCAAAACAGAGAAAGGAAGAGACTGTCTCTAAATATGTCTTGTGGGCCTCCTGTTACTATTCTGTCTCTGTAGTTATCACTCCAATCAGAGATTTTCAAACACATGTCTTGTTTTTAGATCTTACTATTTCTTCCACTGTTGGGTACATATCAGGACAGTTAGATCTAAAGCACTGAGACAAATTGTTGGTTTATGTACATATGCTCTTACTCTAGGCCTGTGTCCTTTTGTTTGTTTGTCTGAGAAACTAGATTGCTCCTTTGTGTCTCTACTACACCCAAGGCACTTTGTCGGTATTTCCTTTTTCATTCTTCTTTCTTCCTTCTCCTGCCTTTAACTCTACCAATTATAGTCTTTGTCTTCACCTCCTCCTCTTCTTGCTTTTTCTTTGCCTTCCTCATTTTCTTTTTCCATCTTCCTTTTCCTAGTTTCACTGGTAGCCCCAAAGCCATGTTTCTCTGACCACAATATACTCAAGTGCAATTTGCAGCCTCAGAACTCAGTAGAGGGTCAGACATGAGTTGGAATCTAATCAACAGCAATGAGCTTTTTAGTTTGTTGCAGGTGGTGTTTGTATTATTTCTGTAGGGGCCAGGGGCAGTTTTGACCCATAGTTTTTCTTTCACAAGTTTTATTTGCCCCTCTCTTCACTATTGGAACTTCATTCTGTCTAATCTGCCTAAACAAGTTTCTGGAAACTTTAGAAGATTCTAAAATACATTATCCTGCAGTCCAGTGATAAGAGACTAATGTATTTTATGGCGGACTGAGAAGAAAGCTAAAAATGACAGTGTGGTATGTGCGATACCGGGGACTCTGAAAATTTTATAAAAAATTACAAAGGCCATTCTTTCTTTAGTTTTAGGAGTGCTTCAGAAAATTTCCTTTCAGAAGTAGATTCACATCTGCCTTAATTATTTTATATTTATTGTGTAGGAGTCCTATTTTACAGCTATTTGAAATTTCTTGGAGTAAGATTTGAATGTGTCATGAAATTAGAGCTAATAGATATGCAAAATACCCTAGAAGAGGGCTCAACTTACTTGAAAATATCGAGTGTCATTTTTTAAATTCATGCTAAATTGAAATTAATCTAGAAACTTTATCATAGTTTTGTTGTGTGTTTTTTTTTATAGGGGGCATAGAAAACACAGACTGTAGAAGGAAGTAGTTCTTTGGCTAGAATTTAGACTATCAAAGTAGTTTTTTACATAATTAGATTGAGTATAAAAAGTAGATGGTAAAAGCAGGAGAGGAAGACCCAGGATGATATGGATTGACTCAGTGACCGAAGAAATGGGATTAGGTCTGTCAGAGATGATGAGATTAGCTCAGGATAGGGTGGTGTTCAGAGCTAATGTGCATAGAGTTGCACACGCTGACTTGATGGTGACATGAGATTTGATGAAACATAACAACGACAACATACATAGATGGTATGAAAACATTACGGCAAAGACTGATCTAACATTTTATTTTCTTAATTGGTTTTCTCAGTTGAATAAAAAATTACTTAACCACCTTTTTGTTATTGTTGTTGTTGTTGATTGCCATTGAGTCAAGCACGACTCA